GCACCCCGTGAGGCCAGTCGGTTTGGGGTTGGGGAGGCGGTTTCCAGGGTGGCACCCGAAGCCTTAGTAATTATTAACATTTGCACAGAGTGCTCCTGGTTACAAAGAATGCACCTGTATATAGCTCATTTGATGTTAGTGACCAGAACAGCTAGCTGTGTGACCTTGGGAACGTCACCCAACCTCTCTGGGCCTCAGAGTGTTGCTTTGTAAAATGCAAAGGCTACAGACACGAAGTCCTTTGCCCCCCCCCCACCCCTCCACCAGAGTTCCATGGTGGCTCAGATGGTAAAGTGTCTGCCTACAATGCGGGAGACCCAGGTTCAATCCCTGGGTTGGGAAGATCTCCTGGAGAAGGAAATGGCAGCCCACTCCAGTATTCTTGCCTGGAAAATCCCATGGACAGAGGAGTCTAGTAGGGCTCCATGGGGTCGCAAAGAGTTGGACACGACTGAGCAACTTCACTTTCGACTTTCCTCCGAGAGAGTGACTTCCAATGGGCCCACTGACCCAAGGAGAGCTGCACCTTTACCTGCCCCTTCCCTCCGCCACATAGAGCCTGCTGTGTAGGGCTTCCCGGGAACATATTTTCATATGACAAAGGTCATCACTTTAGGCAGGAGACATTGGTGAGGGAACAAGAGGTAACTCCACACCAAAGCCCTGTGATAGCATTTAGGTGTTGCTGGCCTGGGGGCCGGGTCTTCCCCACAGTGAGCGCTCCCTCTCAGGCTTTTAATTCTTGCTCTGTGCTCACGCATCACACATCAGATATGTGTGATGCATATGTGATCATCACGCATCACACATCATGTATGACATCCACAGACTGATTCTAACAGGGTGGGTGGGGAGGGCGGGGGGAAGAAATGGGGGCAACCACCATTTATTCCCATAATTTCCAGCCAGTGGGCAAAATCAGATTTCTGCACCCAAATATCAGCCCTTCATCTGAGGCTTTTTCTTTTCCTAGCTCTCCTTGAGTGGAAGGGAAAAAAAAATTAATTCTTGCCCCTGGATGGGAAAGCTCACTGTTTTCTCCACTCTCCTGCACCCTGAGTGTTAAACGTCTGGCCCACCAATGACCTCCCACAATTTCAGGAACTCTCCCGCAGGTAGGCAGGACCAGAGACTCAGTTTGCTTGGGGGGAACATTCTTGACTCCCTTGGGTGGGGACGTGCCTGTGAATGAAGCCGGGCAGCCGTGGGCAGCTGCGGCCCCTCCCTGCCGTTCAGGATGAACACGTTGTACTCCTTTGTGACCTGATGGAACTGAGCGAGCAGCGGACTCTAGGGAGACCCTACAGAGAGGACACTGTGATTGATCTCCCTCCCAGAGATGTTAGCCGAGTGGCAGGGCAGGGTTTCTTGGGGGGGGGGTGTCAAACCACCACTTATAGAGGTTTCCTTTGTGAGAGGGGATTGCTGACTTCATGCCACCGTTGTTGGCCCCAAAACTCTCCAGCTCCAAACTACACAGCAACCAAGTGGTTTTCCCACAGCAGTGTAGACTGCCAAACTGAATGGTTTTATCAGACAACACTCTCTTCCTTGTTGCTCTTCCTTATTTCTCCTGGGAATTCAGGTCAGTGCAGGGTGAAGGCTTCCCATGCAGGGCAAGAGAGGGAGTTTGCAAGGGCAGAGCTCTTTGGATCATTTCCTTGATCTGAAAGGGTTTCAGAAAGTAGGTTTGCTTGCTAAGGTGGGACAGACAGCCTGCCCTACCTAGATGTTAAGGGTCACAGGTGCCCCAGTTCCAGGAGCCACAAATTCGGGGAAAAGCAGGGTCCCCCCCAGGCTGAAGCAAACACTGGGGACCTTTGAGCAGAGAGGCAGCCCTGTCAATGATCTGTGGATTCAAGGAGTGTCTCATCTCCCTGGAAGAGCGGCCCGCCCCTTCCGGTGCCTCCTGCTCCCCACACGGCTCTGTGCCCCTGCCCTTGCCAGCAGCCCGGATCCTGGAAGCCCAGACCCTCTCCGAGGAATGTGGAGTGGCCCCGACACTGTCAGTAACAATGAGACGTCCCTTTGATAACCTGAGTGGAACCTGCCCCCGGAGTCTTACAGACCCTTTTATTTACCTGGGTCTCTTTCTTCCCACCCTGTCCTGCCCTAAGCAGCCTAGTCAAGCTCTGTGGGGTCACAGCCTCAGGCCCAGCCCCACCCCAGCCCCAAACTTCCCTATGACTTGGAGACCCAGGTACTGGTAGGCTGAGCCAGAGTCTTGAAGAGTGAAGGCTTGGGACGACTATTGAGGGTGGGTCTCAGCTCAAGCCAAGAGGCTCTAAGAAAGCCACCAGGTACCTTGGTCTCCGCTGGAGGCCTGTCCCACGTGGCACCTGCACTCCCCCAGGGCCACACACCTGCACCCAGAGGCCGGAGGAGCTGCCTCCCCTCCCCCACCCAGAGCAGGTTTCCAGGGGTCAGGAACCCGACAAAGGCCTCTCAGAGGCTAAGCCGTGGTGATGAAAAGACACCAGGCTCTCTTCCCATCAGCCACCTTGCACCCCTCTCTGATTGCTCCAGACAGCCTGCCCCTGCAGGAACCCAGATGGGCGCCCTCTTGGCTGAGGGAGCAACCCAGACATGAGGGGATATTTTCACTCCAAGGAGCTTGTCCAAGGACATCATTATTGCCTCCTTTCCCCTCACCCCCAGCCCAGGGCCCAGAACCAAGGAGGGGCCATGCTACTGCCATGAGTGCCCATTTCTTCATGAAGGACACCAGCCAGTGTCCTCTCTCCTGCCATCACACCCCACACCGCAAGTGAGCATGGGTCTCTCTGAGATCTGGCGTGACCCCTGGGGCCAGATCAACCCAGGCCGCTCCCAAAGCATTTGGGCAGGCAGGCCAGGGCCCTTTCTCCAGGGCAGAGCGGAGACACAGCTGGAAAACCGGGACAATTAGCCAGCGGCCGGCGGCCATAAAAACGCAGGAAGCGGCCACCGCAGGGCGGAGGGGGCTGGCTGTCCCCAATAAAGCGATTGTCCCAAAGAATGCCCACATTCCGAAGACTCGGGCGCAAGCCTGGGCCTCGGCTTCCAGAGCTGGAGGCTTGGGAGGGGGCTGCTGGTGGGGGGGGGGATTGTGTCTCCCAGGAAGAGGAGGAAGATGTTTGCTAGATCAAACGTCTGCAATGCTCCCGCCACTTAACCTCCCACATCCCAGCCCCATCCAGGTCCACAGACTACCCCGCCACCCCATGAACCCCCCCCCCCCCGCAACTCAATGACTTGGATTCTGTAACGGGCTTTGTAATTTGTTTCCTATTTTATTTCTCAAGAGGTCCAATGACCCTCAGTTATCTGGGCCTGGCCTGGGGAGATCCACAAGGATGATCTGCTACAGCCTTCACCAGTTGATTGCCCAGTTTGTTACCACCCACCCCCCACCATTTTAACCTCTTTCCTTAGGAAACACAGAGGACAAGAGGGAACAGCAAGGAGGAGATCCGAAGCCCTGATCTGGCAGGGGCCTGGCCTCTCGGAGCTCTGCGGCTGGCCGGCTGTCCTCTGTAAAGTGGAGAAGATGACAAGACCCGCTCTATTCCCGATCTGGGGAGATGTGAAGATCTAGGAGATAAAGGACACTGGAAGGAGCTACAGAGATCACACGAGGACGTGACAAACACCAGAGACCGCTCCGTGGCGAGAACCGACAGGGGTGGATCTGCAGGAGACCCACTACGCCCCGTTGGTTCCCGGAGTGCTCAAAGCCACCCAGCCCGCCTGCCCAGCCCGCTGCCCGGGCGCTGCGATCCTCAGATCCCAGTCTGGCAGCGCCGTCTGGGCTCGGAGCGGAGGTAGACGGCAGCCGCAGGCCCCACTCCCCGCGGTTGCTGAACCGAGATGGGCGCCCGCCCGAGCGAATATGGTCGCCCTGAGCTCCTGTCTTCCGACCGGTCCTGGCGGGTCCCGAGCCAGGCAACGCAGTACAGGTCCCCACGGCTGCCACTTCCAGCCCGGGACACAGTGTTTCCTGGGCCCTTCAGAAGCAATCATCAGTGATGGCTCGGGGTCTCTTTCCATCCCCTAGAGACAAAAAACTACTTTCTCCGGAGAAGTGTTTTATTTTGCAAATGAGAATGGTTTTAAGCCATTGGTTTGTTGTATGACATATACATACCTGGGTAGACATTAGCAGAAACCCTAGAGTCCCTTTTCCTTGATTCTAAACCACGTATTTAAGTATATAAACATATAAGTGTACCTTGCTTAGTTTTCACAGGCAACCCACACACCAGGACCCAGCTCAAGAAACACCAGGAAAAAAAAAACACCAGAACTCTAACAAACCCTCCTGCTCCCCTCCGCTACCACCCTTCCACCAGCCTGACTACTACCACTCCTTAGTTTGCAGTTAAGATTTCTGAGTTTGTACTGTAAATGCTTTTTCAAAAAAAAATTAATAGCTTTGAGTCCCAAATATGAGATGAACTCGGAGATGCGACCTGCAACTAGGGTCTTAATTTATCTCGTGTGGAGGGCCAGCTGTTTCCCTAGGGAAGAAAAGAAATGATCAGCGGTGACAGTTGTTTGAGGGGCGCAGTCGGCCTGGCCAGGCGAGCAGAGAGGATAGGAACAGGCCTGTTTCTCCCGACTCCACCCGTCACCTCCCGGGCTGGCCAGAAACTCTGTCATCAAAGCAATGGCTTCTCTTTTTCTCTTTGGGATGGAAGGAGCTTCTTCTAGACACCCCCTCCCTTCCCTGCAAATGCAAAAACACGACTCCTCAGTTCCTAAACCCCGATTCCCACCAAGATAGCTCTCCCCACCCCTCCACCCACTTTTGCAAGTCTCTTGATTTCATTCTTTGAACCTGTGATTGGAGGTTAAAGTGCACCAAGGTTGGAAGGAGGAAGCTCTTAACAATAAAGGTTTGAATATTTAGCTGTGATGGGTCGCAGCCCTCTGGAGAGCTCCCCCCTCCTCCCTAATCTTTTAAAATGCAAATCGTGTTTCTAGGGGTTGTGCGCCGGGTGCGCGCTGCGCCTCGACGTCTCCAGCCATTGGTGTCTGTGTCATTACTAATAGAGTCTTGTAAACACTCGTTAATCACGTAAGGCCGCCGGCCTGGGGCTCCGCACGCCAGCCGCTGGCGGGTCTTCCCCGCCTCTGCAGCCTGGTGGAAAGGAGGTGGGAGGAAAGAAGGAAGAGAGAGCGGGAGGGAGGGAGGGAGGGAGGGAGGAGGCAGGCCCGAGGCAGGGACCGCCTCAGAGGCAGAGGCGCCGCGAGGAGCCGGCGGAGCACCGCGGGCCGGGGCGCAGCCACCCGCAGTTCCAGCGCCCCTTCACCCCCTTCGCCAGCGCGGCGCCCCCCGGCAGCCTCCAGCGTCCGTCCCCGGGCAGCATGGTGAGGTTCGCCGTCGGGCCCTCGCCACCATGTACGTGAGCTACCTCCTGGACAAGGACGTGAGCATGTATCCCAGCTCCGTGCGCCACTCTGGCAGCCTCAACCTGGCCCCGCAGAACTTCGTCAGCCCCCCGCAGTACCCGGACTACGGCGGCTACCATGTGGCGGCCGCGGCCGCCGCCGCCGCCAACCTGGACAGCGCGCAGTCCCCTGGGCCGTCCTGGCCGGCCGCCTACGGCGCCCCGCTCCGAGAGGACTGGAACGGCTACGCGCCGGGGGGCGCGGCGGCCACCGCCAACGCCGTAGCTCACGGCCTCAACGGGGGCTCTCCGGCCGCCGCCATGGGCTACAGCGGGCCCGCCGACTACCACCCGCACCACCACCCGCACCACCACCCGCACCACCCGGCCGCCGCGCCCTCCTGCGCCTCCGGCCTGCTGCAGACGCTCAACCCCGGCCCCCCCGGGCCGGTCGCCACCGCCGCCGCCGAGCAGCTGTCGCCGGGCGGCCAGCGGCGGAACCTGTGCGAGTGGATGCGGAAGCCCGCGCAGCCGGCGCTGGGCAGTCAAGGTGAGCCGGCGCGCGCCGGGGGAAGGCGCGGTCCCCGCGCGTCCGGGGACTCCGCGCAAGGGGGACGGGGCGGGGCGACCGCGTATGGGGGCTCTGGACCCTTCCCCCGGGGGTTGCTGCTCTGGCCCCTGTGTGGGGGCTAGCGGGGTCGGGACTGGAGGTCCTGGTCTCACGAACCGCGTTCAGTATAAGGCAAAGGGGAGGCTCCCTCCTTCCCACCGCCCTTCCTTCGTAAGGTCGAGTCCTCTGACCCTCGGGAGACTCCCGGGAACGTGGCGCAGCGCGGCTGCAGCGCAGTGATCGCGTCCTCCCGGCTTGTTGCCGCCCGCCCTCGCTCGGTGCGCGGCTCTCCTGCAGCTCTCCAGGGCCGGTCTCTAGGGGCACGCCGTCCTTCCCTGTCCCGGCCACTCGGGAAGAGGGGACGGGGGCAGCCAGGAGGGCGGCGCGGTCGCGCGAGGGACCAGGTTTAGCCATTGGGGCCAAAGGTAGGGATCGGAGCTACCGCGCTGGGGAAATCGGGCGAAGCTGCTGAAGCTGAAAGAAGGTGTTGGTCCCGGGATCTAAGTGGGGAAGAGGTGCGGCGCGGGGGTGGGGGGAGCACCCGGGTCTTCAGACCTTTGATCTGCCCAGGGGTCATTTCAATCAAAAGCCAGAGGGCTGGGACTGGACGCCCCAGGAGTCCCCTCGTGTCTGCAGAGGGAGAAGGGGAGGAAGTGGTGGTGCGCGCTCAGCCGCTGCTCCAGACGGAGGTCGTTTCTCCGGAACCTTCCTTCCCAGGGTCAGGTGTGTGTGCGCGTGTGAGTGTGGGTGTGTGTGTGCGTGCGCGCGCGTGTTAGTTGTGTGTGTGCGCGCGCGCGCGTGTTAGTTGTGTGTGTGTGGGTGTGTGTGCGCGCACACTCGTTTAACGAGCTTGCCCCAGAGATGTCTCTGCAGAGATCCCGGGTTGGCGAGACTGAGCAGGCTCGTGGGTTCCGGGTCTGCCCCGTCTAGCGTCTGAGTGTGTACAGTGGGGAAGGAGCTCCAGTAGGTGTGGTGGGATTGTCCTGCTGGCTCCGTTTTCCCTCCATGAAGTCTTTCTCAGCCCTCTGCACTTCCGCTTTTTCCTCTTCCCTCCTTTCAGGCCCAACCCGGCCGGCATGCAGGTTATGGCCACTTTGCAGGGGTTTTATAGCCGATTACAGCCGCATAAATCAGAGCAGCCGTTGGGGGCTGTCTCCGGGGATCGGTTTTTTGCGTCACTGCGCACAGACCGGGACCCACCACGGGGGGAACTGCGGCGGTCCGGGGAGGAGGCCTCCGGGTCGACCTGGAGGGTCGGCTGGGTCCCTTCCCCCGAGAGGAGGCGCGCTCTCCTGGACAGAGAGCGCGCCCACGGAAGGCCCTTGGCTATCCTGAGCCTGCCTGGGGCGCCGGCCGGGGCGGTCTAAGGGAGACCCTTGGTGCGTCCCCGGAGAATGCGCGCAGAGCTGGCCCGGGCGGGGGGAGAGGGAGGCGTGTCACCGGAGCCCGGGCCGCGGGGTCAGCGGAGGAGAGGGCCGCTGTGAAGTCCCGCGCCAAGGTGGCAAGGCCGCAGTCGGCGCCGGGCGCCCTTGTGATGTTAATGTGGGGCGGCCCGCCGGCCGGAGCCCGATTCCTCTGCGGAGCCTCATCCGTCAAGGGGCGAGTGGGGGGGNTGGGGGGGCGGGTGGGACCCGACCCAGTCCGCTTTGATATACACCTTCCCAGCCCTGCCATTGTCTCTTTTAGGGCCCGGAAAGAGGGTGGTGACTTTCGCAGTCAATAATGAATTCTGACAAGTCCCTCTCATCTCTCCCCTACTCCATTCCCCTCCTTGGTTCCCAGGGGGTGCGGGGCATCTCCGAGGTCCTCGGGGCGCGGGCTGCCGAGCACACTGGGGGGCTGGTCGCGCTGCCCCGGCCTCTCCGGATACTGAAAGGACAGCCCCAGCCAGAGCCTCTCCCGAGGGCCCCAAGGCGAGTCCCGCTCCTGGAGAGTCCTGCTCGGAGAACTCCCCTGCGCCCGGCTCCCCGGCCCGGGGAGGTGTCCTTTGTGGCTCCCACCTGGCCCGCGTACACCATCTGCGTGGTGATCTAGTCTGATCCTCAGTTTGCCCCTCCGTACGAAGGGGCCACCACCGCGGGCGGGCTGGGGGCGGCAGAGCAGGTTCCCAGGACTTGTCAGTTGCCTTTCCTTTCCCGGTGGGCGCAGGGTCGGGGCCGCCGCGCGCATTCAAATGCGCCCGCCACCGTGTTGATGTTAATGCGCCTGGTGGGGAGGGGGATGAAGGCCGGCCCGCCATTTGCTCAGTAGTGGTAATTCAAACAGAACGCGGTTGTTATTAAGGCATTGAAAGGGCTTTTCTTTGATAAGATCGCCTTGTCCTGCATTGTTTGAGGCTGTGTTCTCCTTTCAGCGGCTCCGGGGAGCTCCCTCTGATCCGGCCTGTATCTTCCCAGGGCGCTTTTGTTGTGGTTTGCAAAGGGTTTTACCTGAACAAAGTCGGCCTGCGGGGCATTAAACACCTCCGAGCAACTCCCCAGACCCTTTAGATCTTCCTGCAGCCCCGGGGCACCGGGCGATTGAACCTGTTCTTTTGGGGGAGAAGACCCCGACCTGGGACCGAGCGAGAACAGCTCCTGAGTTGGGGGGTTCTGCCGAGGGTCGACCCTTGACAGACCCGGTGGAGACGCGGGGCTCCGGTCTGCTCTGACTGCAGTCGCACTATTTGTCAAGGCCCTTCAGTAAAACAATCAATGCAAGGTTTAATATGTTGACTCAATCCAATGAGCAGTAGATCACTGGTCAGGATAGCTCTGGCAGGGTTTGCAGCAGAAATAAACGGAGGCTTAAAAAGAAAAGTGTGCCAACCCAGTTTCGCCCAGGTATAGAGCCTCCCCAGCGAGAAGAATTATCGGCCTGCCAGACCCCTGCTCAGAATTCCACCGGATGCGGCTGGTGAGCCGGGGGCGTGTGCGTTTCTAGTGACCTGAGGGGACAGCTGTCAGCTGCTGCACCCCCTTTCCACTTCTGATAAAACAAACAGAAAGGGAATCCGCCCCCCACCCACATACCCACAATCCCAGCTGTTTTTACTGTGTGTGTTTTTTTTTTTTTTTAAACCTCTGATGGGCCTGAAAATCTGAATATTCCCAGGACGGTTTTCCTTTGGGGCTTCATCAGCTCAGGTGCTGTATTTGCTTTACAAAACCCCTGATGGAATTGTGCTATCACCTGTATGAATTCTTCAGTTCAGTCGCAGTCGTGTTGACTCTTCGCTACCTGTATGAATTTTTAGTTTCTCTTTAATTTTCAAAAACCACTTAATTCCAAGACTAGGTTAGTTGTCCTGAATAGCCCCCCCCAGGGGGTCTTGTCAGACTCAGCAGGAACCAGCCAAACAGCGGCCCCCCAGGGCGATGGAGGAAGAGAAACGGTCCCTGGGTTAGGGAGGTTTGTCATTACCCATGACTGATGAGCTGCCCTGCGGTTCTCCGGGCTAACTTTGCCTTCCTCTACAGTGAAAACCAGGACGAAAGACAAATATCGGGTCGTGTACACGGACCACCAGCGTCTGGAGCTGGAGAAGGAGTTTCACTACAGTCGCTATATTACCATCCGGAGGAAAGCCGAACTGGCCGCCACGCTGGGGCTCTCGGAGAGGCAGGTAGGAAGCCTCCAGGGCCCCATCACTGCCTGGGAGGGTCCAGTGGGGAGGGTTAGAATCCAGGCCCGGGGGCCCACCTCGTTCTGTGGGCAGATTAAAGCAAGAGGATCAAAAGATAAATAAATTAATAAATAAAAATTTTTTTAAAAGCAAGAGGATCGAGAGACTTTTCCTTCTAGATGCTTTTTAAAAAGGCTTCTTCCACATCTAGTTGTCTTTTTAAAAAATATATGTATATTGTTGATTTTTTTTTTTTTTTCTATTTTGGGGGACCTAGGAGGTAAAAAAAAAAAAAAAGATACACAAATGAGTGTAGTTTAATGCAGAATTCGATTTGAGTCAATAAAGACTTTCTCTTTTTGTACCCAGCTCTGTATTGGGGGAAAAATTAATGTAGGATACCAGCCTCTACCCAGAAAAATTATGGAGGGGTGAGGCTTAGCTCCTGAATGCTCTAGATTGTCAAATTCACAGCCAGGAAACCCCTCATTAAAACTCATTCTCAGCCCCAAGGCAAGGACTATTACATTTCCGTTTAGCTTTGAGAGGCCAAAGGTTGTCATTTTGAAGTATATCCAGCCCTAGCCTCCTTGCTTGGTGTAGAAAGGGCCTGGCAGTTTCTGTCTTCCTTGGTTCTGAGACTCTGAACTTTTGCAGTGAAGTTGTAGATAAAGGTTGCTCTGGAAAGAAACCTGAAGAACAAAGGAGGAGAGAGAGGCCCTTCCCTCTTGAGGCTGAATTGGGCTTGGGGGAAGCTCCAGCACTGGGCTGTTATATGGGCTGTCCTGTGAAAAGCTGGGTGAAGGGCTGGTGTCCTGCGGGTGCAGAGGAGACCTCTTTGGCTGGAGAAGGAGGCATTGGATCTAGTGTCAAATACTATCCCTTTATGCTTTCACTATCTTCTTTACCGCCTTCTGTTTTTCTCCACCTTTTTCATTTCCAGGTTAAAATTTGGTTTCAGAACCGCAGAGCAAAGGAAAGGAAAATCAACAAGAAGAAGTTGCAACAGCAGCAGCAACAGCCGCCCCCTCCTTCTGGGCCACAGCCTCCCCAGCCACAGCCAGGGCCACTGAGAAGCGTCCCGGAGCCCCTGAGTCCGGTGTCTTCCCTGCAAGGCTCGGTGCCTGGGGTTCTGGGGCCAGCTGGGGGGGTGTTAAACCCCACTGTCACCCAGTGACCCGCAGCGGCCTGCAGTAGCAATTTCAGGCTGAGCCATGAGGAGCATGGACTCTGCTAGAACCCTCAGGAAAGACCCCCCTCCCCTCTCACCCACACATGTTCACCAGCTGACCTAGCCCTCAGAGCAGAAACAGACGGGGCCTGGGGGAAAGATGAGTGTGGTTGGGGTCCTCAAGGATGACATTCTCCTAGATTTCGACTTTTTCCGTTCTGACTCTTTCTGCCAAGTGAGGAGATGGGAAAAGACACCGGGGATTCCTTTAGTACCAGCGGACACGCTGCCTGGACTGGCGGAACAGACCAGCCTTTCAGCCCCCTGTTCCTCTGCTCTTGGCCTCCCAGATCTGCAGGATACATCTCTGGTTGGAGCTGAGGCAGGAAAGGGGCTCAGGGGACTGCCAGAGATGGAACCAAGATGGTTAGGTCTACTGACTGCCCTCCAAGGTCCCGCTGGCCCCTCTCACCTCTAGGACAGGCAAGATTTAAGCTGCAGAAGCCAGAGGCAGCTAAGATGGAGACTTGGGCCCACTGAAGCATGCAGAACCCCCAGGTCTTTGTCTTTCTTCTCTTCCCAGTGCAGGAAAGACTTGGCTGGTGTATGCACCCGGCCTATGGTAGTGTGAGAGGGTGGTTGCTGGACTCCAGGCCTGACAAGTGGGGGGTGGGGGGTGGGGCCGGGACAGGGCCTTGTTTAGAATGCCTGTCACCAGAGCCTCTCTGGGCTGAATGTATGTCAGTGCTATAAATGCCAGAGCCAACCTGGACTTCCTGTGATTTTCACAATCTTGGGGCTGATGAAAAAGGGGGAGTTTCTGTTGTTGTTGCTGCTGTTTGGGTTGTTGGTCTGTGTAACATCCAAGCCAGCATTTTAAAAGCCTTCTGGATCCATGGGGAGAGACATGATATGGTGAAGGGAAATGGGGGTGGGTGGGGGTGGGGGTGGTATTTGAACACAGTTGAATTTTTTTTTTCTAAAAAGAAAAGAGATAAAGGAGCTTTCCAGATTTCAGATTCTGTTTTTATCACCTATCAGGTTTTGTCTGAAATTATTATTATTATTTTTTTTTAAGAAATGAAATATCCTCTCTCCTTGCCAGCTAGAATTAGGAAAATCAGGGTGGGGGTGGGGGGTGGAGAAGGTTATCTGGACATCCTCATTTTACCCCAGAGCACCAGAAGCCCGAGGGAGCGGTTTCTGAGACCTGCCCTGCCCCCAAGCCGCAGCCCAGCCTTGCCTTGTGGAATGCGTGGTTCTCCTGGGGGTGCCTGTGGGCAGGACGCACAGCTGAACGCCCAGCTGCTTCTCAGCTAGGGGAATGGTGGGCAGTGGGCGCGAGAGAGCCCCTCACAGCGTCCCGTCAAGTCCACACGGAGGCCGTCACCCTCAGTCCCGTCATCGGTGAGTCTCTTCTCCCCAGGATGCCCAGCATTCAAGTGAAAACACTCGATTCTATTCCCAAGGCAAAGTTTCCACGAACGTGCATACGAAGTTGCCCCCATGGACTGTAGCCCGCCAGGCTCCTCAGTCCATGGGGATTCTCCAGGCAAGAAGACTGGAGTGGGGTGCCATGCCCTCTTCCAGGGGAATCTTCCTGGCCCAGGGATTGAACCCACGTCTCCTGCATCCGCAGGCGGGTTCTTTAGCACTAGCGCCACCTGGGAAGCGCAGGTTCCCACGACAGTGTTCTGTAAATGGCCTATATTGTCCCGTGCTGTTTCCTTTTCCCCATTCTCCCTCCTCGGTCTCTCCCCTCTCCCAGATAAGAACTGGGAACCCAGCAAAGGGAGATCCTCGTGGAGATCGGCTGGGCACGGGGCTGCTGCCCTTGAGGTTGCTAGTCCTGGAAGCCGCGGAGCCGGCGCGCTCGGCAGCGGCGGGGCCCGGGAAGAGGGGCTGTGCCCCCACGCGGCCTCTCCGGGCCTGGATCGGCGCCTCCACCGAGGGAGGAGGTGCCCCGAGGGCTGGGCTGGACGGGCCGAGCTGCGAGGCAGGAATGCCCCCTGCAGTATCGCCCCGATTCCGCGGCGCTTCCGGAAGGCGCCTTCCCCTCGGCGCCTGGGGCCGGGCGGGGGGTGGTGGTGGCCGGGGGCCGCGTGCCGGGCCCGGGGCGGGGGCGGCAGGGCAGCCGGTGGTCCCCGGGGGCCCGGCGCGGTTGCTATGCGTTGCCGTGAAACGCCTGTCAATAAAGCCTGTTTGGACAGTGGAGCGCGAGCACAAGGGTTATTTGCTTAGTGGTTAGAGGTCCAAAAGTCGGCGTGGTCCCGCCGCGAGCGATCACACGGGCCTCCTCTTCCCGGGGAGCGGGCCCCTAGCGCCGACGCCCGTGCATCCGGGGGGCCCACCGGGAGGGACCCCCCTACTCGGGGCGGCGAGTTACCCGCCGGTTGCCGCTCGCAAGGCTGGGAATGAGGGCCCTACGCCGAGGCACCGACCCGAGAGCCAGCCCCCAGGGAACCCACGCGCGGATGCGGCGCGAGCGGGCAGCGCGGCCTGGAGAGGCCTGGGGAGGCCGGCGTCCGGACGTCAGGGTTCATTTGTGAGCAGAGGGCAGCGCGGGTTCGAGCGCCGCGGGCGCTGTGCCGAGGATCGCAGGGCGCGAGCCCCTGGGGCCCCGCGGCGCTCTGTCCCCGCTCCGGCCGCCAGGGAGCGCGCGCGCCCTGGGAAGAGCCGAGGCCCTGCCCTTCGGCTGCTCGCCGTCTCTACAGGAAGGGGACGCAGTTGAGACCCAGGGGTGCAAGCCCCAGACCTCTCTCTCCCACTCCGCGGCTCCCAGACCCGCGTGGAGAGCCTTCCCTCCGCGGCCACGGAACCGGGGAAGCTAAGTGCACACTGGGTCAGGTGCAGAGAATTCTTGGATCTGGTGCATGTTTAAGAAAAGCAAATTTAGGGGAGGGGAGCTGTCCACTCTTCTTGAAGGGTCTTTTTGGGGGACTTCCTTGGCGATCCAGTGGTTAAAACTCCACTCCTCCACAGTTAAGAGCGCGGCAGTTCGGTCCCTGGTCGGGGAACTAGGACCCCAGGGTGCCCTACTCCCCCAAAAAGTCTTTTTGGACAAGACGTTTCTTTAAAAAATTTACAGAAATATAGGTATGATATTAATATATGGGAAGAGCGAGAACTTAGGATAAACAAAGGGGAAAATGCAGCAGTATTGTGGAACTCATGTAAAAAAAAAAGAAGGTATATATGTAGAGAAAGCAGGCCAAGTCTCTCTTTTTCCTGTAAGCAATTCATAATTTTATCATATTCATCTCATAAAGTTAACAAGATGAGCTGCTAGTTGAAAGCCATGGAAGTTTCAATGAGTTTCCTTGCTGTCTGATACTATCAGGCAGGAGGCTGACAATGATCAAGAATACTGATCTTAAATAGAAATCTAAACACATAAACAGCAATATTCTGGCTGTTGTTATTCACAACCACCTGGGAAAAATAAGAGGAGGAAAGGAGCAGAAATAAGTCTCAGCTACAGAATCTTAGGAAGAGATTATAGGTTTTTAAGAGCACTATTCACACCTTGTTTTATAATTAGTTTAAGAACCCTGGGAAGATCACAACCTCCCAGCTACCACTTCCTCATCTGTAAATGGAGATCAAATGCAATGTAAGCAGATGCAATTCATGGGGTACACTTATGATTAGATCCCAATAATGACATGAAATCCTCTTCTTTTAGTCATGAACCATCTTCTCTGAAGTGCTCAGAGGTCCTTACAGTGGATGTTTGAACAAGGATCATTTTTCAAATCATTGGAGAATAATTACCTTCCAGAAGTTTTCCTCCTGTATTTAGCTCTGCTTACTTTGTCAAAATAGCCCCAAGTCTGTTGTCTCTTGATTTCCACTGCCTATGTGTCTGCACAAAATCTCAAGTGGCAAAGCACGAACATTTCAGATGAGAAGATGAGTTTCGGCTCTACCCAGCTTACCTGCCCTTTCATCTACCAGGAAAGATGGACCCAGGCACTTCCAGTTGTATTTAGGAGACTCAGATTAGTTGAGGATATCAATCAGAATCCTTTAACCCAGAAGAGGCACAGAGGCAGATACTCTTCCTCAGTTCAGTTCAATTCAGTCACTCAGTCATGTCTGACTCTTTGCAATCCCATGGACTATAGCATGCCAAGCCTTCCTGTCCATCACCATCTCCTGGAGCTTGCTCAAACTCATGTCCAGTGATGCCATCCAACCATCTCATCCTCTGTCGTCCCCTTCTCCCGCCTTCAGTCTTTCCCAGCATCAGGGTCTTTTCCAATAAGTCAGTTCTTCCCATCAGGTGGCCAAAGTATAGGAGTTTCAGCTTCAGCATCAGTCCTTCCAATGAATATTTAGGACTGATTTCCTTTAGGATGGAGTGGTTGGATCTCCTTGCAGTCCAAGGGACTCTCAAGAGTCTTCTCCAACACCACAGTTCAAAAGCATCCATTCTTCTGTGCTCAGCTTTCTTTATAGTCCAACTCTACCTAGCCAGTATTAAAAGTTTTGTTATTTTGAAATAATTTCTAGTCTAATACCTCAATATCAATTCTGTACTCTGCCACGAGCTGGGTTGCACCTACCTCCCCCCTCTATCCCCCACCCCCAGCCTGCCAACTGCTTCTGGCAGGGGTTCAATTCTTCAAGCCTTTCATTAAAGTCTTTTAATATGAGCATTTTCTTCTAACACCCATAATTTCCCCTTACACAAAAACTATAGCAGCAGATTTTTGCATTAAATTAGTATTGCTTTGGAGGATAAGGAAAACATTCATATCTAAATAATGTAGGTTACCTTGTATTTTAAATTAGCATTTAAATTATTTTCTTAAATTCCATTTAGACGATACAATCTTCCAACCCCCATAATTCTCACATTTAAAGTTGTTTTTTTTTTTTTTTGGGGGGGGTGGCTTTTTCCTTTTGCCTCCTCTTCTTCAAGGGTTGACTATGATTTCAGGAAAACAAGCAGGTTTTATTGTTAACTGGGATGAGCCAAGTGATGGGCCAAAACAATCACTAAATATTTTCTTTACTTATACACCAGAAGAAGTACATACACTTCTTCTATCATTCACTTCTTGAAGGTTATGAAATTAGATCTAGGAAAATACCCTCAAATTCCAAATAAAGAAAATAGAATCTGTCAATTCTAGAGATTATAGCCACATTTACTTTGACATTCTTCTTGGAGGTATCAGTTTAGAGAGGGTGGGAACAAGTACATAGGTGACCTT